TCATTCGCCTTTTCTTTCCCCATAGCCCTGTAATTTGATTTACTTTGACAATTTAACCAATTCCCTTTTGAATATTACTATTGAATCTGTTCTAACCATCCTTTCAGACAAGTGCAGGTCATTGACATGTAGCAAAAAGATTAGTAGTCCTAATACTGATCACTGGTGAACACCACAATTCCCTCAAGTATGAAAAATAACTATTTGTTGCTCCCTCTTCTTTAAGAATTTTGTATGCATGCTGCCAAAGTTCCTTTAATCCAATAGGGTTTAACATTACTAACAAGCCCACTAGGTGGTACTTGGCAAACATCTTTTGAAAGTTCACATGCGTGATATTAACTGCACTACGCTGATCAACCCTCTCTGCAGCATTGCTAAAAATGAATTGTACAGTAAAGAGTTAATACTCAAGTATGTATGTAGTCAGCTTTCTTCAGTAGTGACATGAAAGATCACATGGTAACTGACTCTGGAAGAAATGATTCTGTGTACAGTTTCAAGTTAAGCTTATGGTGTAAACTGTTAGCAGCATGAACACCTAAGACTTAGCAGCATTTCTAGATCCTTACCAAGGCTCAAAGTTCTGAGACTCATCACCATACTAACAGATGGTCACAGACAGCGACCTAACCAGCAGCAGGAGAAAGGCAGCCAGAACAGCATTGATAGAAAAACCAACATCAACAGGTCAGAGCAATGGGAAGATGAAGAAAAACCTCTGTGACTGGAAAGCAATGTTAAGCAGAATGATGGCAAACAGAGGGCACCACAGGAGACAACTCGAGTAAAGAGAAGCCATGGAACAAACTTTCAAGCATTGGATTGCCCAAATCAAACTGCGAGGTGAAAACACCGGTGTAAACGGTGAGTCAAGTATAGGAATGCTTTGGGAGTAGTGGCTAAACCAGCACAGACCCTTCTCTGCATAAATGCTGCTGACTGCAGGGGACATTTTTATGAGGCAGTGTATAAGCAAATAAACCATCACCTATGAAGATATTATGGTTCTTCTGGTGCTTATTTTAGTCTTAGAAAAACTATAATTATAGAAAGGGTGAAAGTTCACAAACACCTACAAAACCTGGGAGAGAGTATAGATTCCTCATCAATGTCCTGTATCAATTAGCGGATAATTGAGAATCTGGAATCTGATGAAGAATTGCATTATGGTTTGAATCTTGGATAAGACTATTTTGGATTTTTATAGTCAAGGGAACACTTGAGATGAGTAAAAGTGGTACAATTAGCAAGGCTGGCAGGTGAGAGAAAACAGAACAGAGTTGCTATGTGCAACAACAGAGAGGCTTTGTGCAGAAGACCAGTTGAGACAGTATAATGAACCTAAGCTGAGGCCAGGAAAGCTAAAAAGAAGTATTGATGACCATTATGTTATATTCTTGCTGTGGCAGGGAACCTCCTTTGGTGTAAACATTGTCCTGCCAAAAATATGGAGTGTCATTCCAACAAGAGGAAAGGACATTTAAAACTGTTTGTCACAGCAAAAACAGTTAATTGCAAAACCAATAAGAAAAACCCACCAGAACAAGGAATGTTCAAGACTGAACAGCCTAAACGCAGTTAAATAAAATTTCTGAGAGAAATAACTGGATACAAGGGAAACGATTCAACAGCTGAAATAAAAGTAAATAGGTATGAAGCAAACTTCAAGATAGACAGTTAAGCAGGTGTATCAGTGCTCTTAAACACAGAAAAATGGCAAAAATAAGACTTCCTCCAGCCACTTACTATTCAACTACAAAGGTCAGTTGATTACAACACTATTGTATAAGGAAGAGAAGTCACAGAGAGAAATCAAATCAAGGGTCTTCATACCTAAGCTGAAAAGTTTGCACAAAGTTGCAAATCATTTATACGACCAAGAATTACAAAGCAGGAGAAAATAAAACTGATTCAGAGCAGAATTTCCAAAAGTACTGAATGGCCTTGGAAATCTAAACAAACCTAGCAGTTCATGATGAGATCATCATGCTAAACCAATGCACTTATTCACTCCAAGGAAAGTTCCACATCAAATTATTAAGGAAGATAAAGTATGAAATTGAGGCAATGTTACATTTAGGAAATGATTTCACCAGTGACAAAGCCAAACTTTGGTGTTCTGTTATGGTGCAACTATCAAAATGAATTCATGTAGACCTGCTAGAACTAAACAAATAGTGGATAGGAAGATCCACCCTATGGTGCCAATGGTTGAGGTCTGGTGAAGCTAGCAAAAAATTACAATCTTCACTAAACTTGATATTCATGGATCGAGAAAGAAGCACCAGCAGCTACAATGTCATGCAAAAAAAAATGTTCAGATTACATTTTAGATTTGAGGTAAAGAGAACATAAACAATTGATAACATTGCTCATTGCCAGTGAACTGGTGAAAATGGTTGTGGAAGTGCAGCGATTTCACTTATGTTTAATGAGGCGCAATACTACAATCCAGTATGCCCAAGGAGAGAACTCTACGGTGAACACATTGCCAGGTATTCCTGCTGAACAAGCAGTTCATGGAGACAAAAATGTTATCAAGAAGTGGTGTTCTGTACTTCTTTAACTAAACTAACAAAAATGAAAAGAAATTCAGAAATCTCAAACAGATGAGAAATTATGCAAATTTGTCTGTACAGCATTGACGAATGGCCACAATATATTCTAAATAATCACATTTTCAAACAATACTTGGAACAGTGAAAACACATTAGTGACGTAAATTAGTTGTTGATGTGAAATGAGAGATTAGTCGTTCTGAGTATTCAGACTCAACATTCCTCAGAGGTTACACCAAGGGCACTTGGACATTACAAGCGTCAAAGATAGAACTCAAAATTCTACATGGTGGCCAGAAGTTTCAATTTAATTGCAAAAAAAAAGAATGGCATCACCTACACGATCCACCATCAAAACATAACGAACCACTTACAGTTTCCTCACTTCCGCCCAGGTTGTGGAAGTGCCTCGACATAAATCTTCTTGAGCTATGGGAAAAATATTCCTCATCATTATCAACTATTACTCAAGATGCATTGAGGTCAAACATTTGCTTGGACTTACTTTGGAAGCTGTTATTAACTTCCTCGACGATTTCTTAAAATGCATGGCATTCCAAGTATAGTTATTTCAGATAATGACCTACAGTTTGCCAATTAATGTCTCAAAAACTTTGCAGAATGCTATAGATTTGTGCAATATCACAAGACTATCTAGATACCCACAGGTTAATGGAGAGGTTAGAGTGGAGTGAGGACAATCAAAGCCCTGTTGAAGAAAAATTAAGATTTTGATTTATCATCTTGCAATATAAAACACAGTCACAAAAACTCTTTCTTGGCGGAAGACCACAATTTCAACTGACTGCTGTTCCACACGCCTTCAAACCAAATAGTATGGCAACAGCTAGAGAGCCAGTGCAAGAAAGGGAAGAGCTACAGTGAACAAGTCAAACAGAAACTACAACCAACATCTTAGAGTCCAGACATTGCAGCATGCACGGATCCAGGATCAGAATCATGAAGGCTCAATCCTGGAAATGAAAATTCTGCCATAGAGGTCATATCTCATAGAAATGATCAGTGTAAGGAGAAATAGAAAAGCAAAGCTTTCACAAGACAAAGACTCTCAATGTAATGGACCAGCTATCCAGAAGCCCAGAAAGACAATCTGAATAAAGAGATGGCATTCTCTAATGACTCAAGTAACTGAGTTACTGAATCCAAGTAAAAACTTGGAGAAAAGAATATCCTCAAATTTCATCAAGGGAGCTGAGAACAAGGTTAGAGAGATTGGTGAAATCATCACAGCACTTATATCTGTGAGCCAGTGGTTAAAACAAAAGACTTTTGGCATGTGGGAAAGTGGGATTAAGGGCAGATATTAAAAATATAATTTATCTATAGAGTCAGAGACTTGGGGAGATTCAGGGGAAAGGGCAAATATTCTAATAGGTAAACAGTAAGTCTACATCAGAAGAGATGCAAGGTATCCATCAGACTCTGCAGAGAGAGGCATATAGCCTCAACGGTGTAACTAGTTAGCAGGTATTTGGTGAAAAACCTTACCAACCCAGTGTCTCTAGATCCTTACCCAGGGCACAACCTCTCACCACGATAACAGATTAGTCAACACAACATTGTCTTCTACAAACCTGTGCTGATATTCATTCATTAGTCACCAAGTTTCTCAAATACCCCTCTTAGAGTTCCCGGCTGCCAAGGTTACAGTGAGGAGCTGTAGCTGGTGGTGGATTTTTTTTTTGGTGGGCGGGGTGGTGGGTAGTAGAGAGACTGGCTGGCTCAGCAGCCCTCAGTGGAGAGAGGGGACAGAGAGAAGCGGTGGGGAGGGGGGAGATCCCTCAGTGGAGAGAGGGGACAGAGAGAAGCGG